ATTCGAATGATATTGCTTTACTTCCGATCGCCCTGGCCATCAGAGATTAGGCGTCAAAGGTTTCCCAAAAAGCTTTGCCCCCCCCCCACCCCGGCTGGTCTGATGTATTTCTCATCTTAAGAAGTCAGACGGAGCTGCTTTTTTCGGCCCTGGCGGCTGGTCCTTCCTCGGGGCCAGGGCGGGCCACCTCCAGCTGGCAGCTGCTTCCCGGCAGCCCTTCTGGCCCAAGGAGGCTTCTGTTCAAACTGGAGATACCCCCCCCCATCCCAGACTAGCCCTGAGATTGTGTGCCTGCAAAGGAAGTCTCGTTCCCCCGCTTGCCAGTCCCCAGTGCACAACTGGCCGGAGGTCTCGCACCCCCCACCGTGGCCCCGGCACCCCTTCCAGCCCCCAGCAAGGGACCAGGCAGTACTTTGGCCAGTCGAGGGAAGGATTTGAACCCCCATGTCTTTGGTTCCTCCCCCCTGGGGACTGGCCACTAACCCCCACCTCCCACCCCATGGGCATCAGCCACCGCTGCTCCTGGGCAGATGCCAGCCGGAAGATTTCAGGGGCATATTATGAGCCACCAGGCCCAGGGGCTGGCAAAGCAGGGCTCCCTGGCCTCTGGCGGGGTCCTGCCTCCTTGTGGCTTCTGTCAGAACATCTTAAGAGGAAAACTGAACACCCGCCCCATCCTCTGCCTCTTGGCGCTCTTTCTCCATCTCTCTCCCTCTCCCTCCTGCTGCAGATCCAGAGCAACATCATCGAGGCAGCGCGGGCGGAGGGCATCCAGGAGAGCCCGGACAGCCTCTTTGCCTACCTCATCGAGCGGGTGCGGAACAACCTGCACGTGGTCCTCTGCCTGAGTCCTGTGGGCGATCCCTTCAGGTGAGGGAGGCGGGGAGCCTCTGGCCCGACGGGGGAAGGGGTGGCACCTTCTGCGTGGAGCGACGGTGGCCTCCAGGGAGGCGGGGAGCCTCTGGCCCGACGGGTGAAGGGGTGGAGCGACGGTGGCCTCCCAGCGTGGCCGGGACCAGGGGGAAGGATGCTGATGGGGATGATCCTTTGGTGGACCGAGGAGCGGAAAGGCAGGGAGGGAGGGAGGGAGGGAAAGTCCTCCCCTCGGGGGGGGGGGGACAAGGGCCGGGCACAGAGGGCATCACAGCCCCCCCTCCCTTTTGACTCAGGAACCGGATCCGCCAGTACCCGGCCCTGGTGAATTGCACCACCATCGACTGGTTCTCCGAGTGGCCCAAAGATGCCCTCCTGGAGGTGGCCGAGAAGTACTTGGAAGGCGTGGACCTGGGCAGCGTGGAGAAAGGCAGCCTTGATACGGTGAGGGGGGGGACTCAGAGCGAAGTGCGGGGGGATGCGGCTCCTCAGGGAAGGCTGGAGAGCTCAGGGGTTTAAGATCGCTGGCAGCAGAGTCAGAGGTTCGAATCCCCCAACGGGGCCTCCTGGAGAGGGGCTGGACTCGAGGATCCAGGCGTTCCCTTCCAGCTCTGCAGTTCCGAGATAATGATGATGATGATTGTGGGGAGGACTGAAGCAGACAGTCTGATCTTTCTCCTTCTCTTCTTTCTCTCGCTCTCTCTCTTCTCCCCCCCCACCGCTTCCCCCCCCCCCAGATGCACAAGCGGGTGGCCAAGATTTTTGTGACGATGCACTGGTCGGTGGCCAGGTACTCCCAGAAGATGTGGCTGGAGCTTCGGCGCCACAATTACGTCACGCCCACCAACTACTTGGAGCTGGTCTCTGGCTACAAAAAGTAAGGAGGGGCCTTTGGGCGCTTCGGGCACAGCCGCCGCAACGGGGAGGTGGGGGGAATGGTGGAGGAACACGCAGGTGAGGGAGCCCAGAGAGGCTTCAGGAATGCTGGGGAGGAAGAGAGAGAGAGGCAGCAGAGCAGCTTCAGAAGTGCCGTGGGCTGCCTCCGTGGATGCCACGCAAGACACGGGGCAGGGAGACCATGACCCGCCCCCTCCCAATTAACCCTCCTTGGCCTCTTGTCCGCCTTCAGTGTCATTGCTTGTGGTTTCTCTCCGAATCAACTGGTTGAGTTGGGTCTTAGATGCCCAGGGATGCCCTGGAGCCACTCCTTATCTGCCGGGACCCTTGTCAGGGTCAAGGATTCGGTTAAATCTTCTGTGCTTGTTAACCCAGGTCTCGGCCAAGAGTCTTGTGGAACTCATTGCACCTTGTGGCACTCTGGGTTAAACTGCAGTACTGCAGCCAAACCTCTGCTCAGGACCCAGATTTGATCCCAGCTACTTAGCTGGCTCGAGGTGCACTGAACCTTCCTTCCTTCCGAGGTTGGTAAACTGAGTGCCCAGCTGGTTGGGTTTTTTCCTTTCATGATGATGATGATGATGATGATGATGATGCTTTTGTAAAAGGCCAACACGTTTGGTCCTGTGACATGCACAGATCGCAAATGGTGGCCACCATGAAAGGTCCTTGGTCGATAACAAGATCCCCCCAAACATAGACGAACTGATTAACACTTATCAGGTTGGAGAAGAATCTGTGTCTGAACCCAGGATAGGAGAAGGCAGGCATCTGTGTGTGAGGTCGCGAGAGGGTGGGGAATGAATACCTCCATCAATACCTTGGAAGTTGCCAAGACAATGTCTCCTCCTCATCTGGAGGCTGTGCGGGGCTCAAGCAGTGTCTGGAACTGGCCGTGAGCTGGTTGAAGGCCTGTAAACCGAGGCCGAATCCTGACGAAATGGAGGTGATTTTCATTGCCTCTAGAGACTGGGCATGCCTCGTGTCCTGACTGAGGTTGCCTTCCCCTGAAAACCAGGCATAGGGCTGCGGGGGTGGGTGGGAGGCGGCTAGGAGCAGCTTTCAGCTGGTTCACCAGTCCGGAACATTCCCGAGAAGCCAAAAGTTCTGCTCCCAAAAAATGCCCAGATGGACTACTGTAATGGGATTGTACGTGGCCCTGCCCTAGAAGATGACTGGGCCGTTTCAGCTGCTGAAGAATAGGGCAGCCGGAATGGTGAGCCGTGAGTCGTTCTACTGATTCTGAAAGAGCTGCCATCAGCTGCCTGGGTTTTTTTTCTGAGCTCGATTCAAAGCAGGGTTAAAGCCATAAATGGCTCGGGACTTCGAAATCTGCCAGAATCCCTCTCCCTGCATCAGTCCCCCCCCCAATAACTCGGGATCATCAGAGGAGGTTCTTTGCCCAAGTGCCAGCGGGGAGGTAGCTGCCTTGAGATCATTGCCATAAAGGGTGACTGGTGCCGACGTGACGGTCATTTTGGAAACGGCTCAAACTTTTTCGGCTATCCAAATCAGCCAAGTTTCATTGTTTGTGCTGCTTTTGTTCATTTTCAGTGTTGATTATTTACATCCAAGCGTATTGCATTGTTTCAGCTAGCTTTCTGTACCAGAATCATACAGAAAAATCTCCCATATAAAAACTAAGCACATAGAGGCAAAAAAAACCCTCAGCTTTTCATACAGGGCGGCTCTCTGCTTGAAAAGGATATCTTGAGGTGGTGACGGAGAGCTTGATGGACATATAGAAGCCATGTGTGGCAGCTGCGGAGATCAGATCAGGCCTGCTTGAAAAGGATATCTTGAGGTGGTGACAGAGAGCTTGATGGACATTTAGAAGCCATGTGTGGCATCTGCGGAGATCAGATCAGGCATCCTTCAGTCTCGAGAGACGAGGGTCACGTGCTCTGGATGGAGGACATGGAACAGCGTCTAGTGTGGCTGAGGAGGCCAATTCGAGAATGACCATCCCTTCCACACTGAAGACAAATACAATCTCTCCCCTCTATACACCTGGATCTTGGTATATGTTGTCAGTTTATTGAGCCATACTCTCTTTGTGAGTCTAGAGAACATGGCAGCTGCTTTGCCAATGCGTTTATCCAGCTCAACATCCAGGGAGAGAGTGTCAGAGATCGTTGAGCCAAGGTACACAAAGTCATGAACAACCTCCAATTCTTGCATGGAGATAGAGGAAGATGAGTCCACACCCTGGCCCATGACTTGCGTTTTCTTCAGGCTGATTGTTAGTCCAAAGGCTTGGCAGGCCTTCCTAAAACAATTCACGAGTTGTTGGAGGTCTTCAGCAGAGTGGGCAACAATGGCTGCATCATCGGCGAAGAGGAAGCCCCGCATGCATTTCAGTTGGACTTTGGTCTTCGCTCTCAATCTAGAGAGATTAAAGAGCTTTCCGTCTGATCTAGTCCGGAGATAGACCCCTTCTGTTGCAGTTCCAAAGGCGTGCTTCAGCATGAAAGCAAAAAAGATCCCCAAAAGGGCTGGTGCAAAGACACAGCCCTCTTTCACTCCGCTTTGGATGTCAGAGGGATCTGATGTTGAGCCATCAAAAACTACAGTGCCCTTCATTCCCTCATGAAAGGACCCGATGATGTTAAGGAGTGGACATCCAATCTTGGGAAGTATTTTAAAAAGGCCCTCCCTGCTAACCAAATCAAAGGCCTTTGTGAGATCTATGAAGGCCACAAAGAGTGGCTGTTGTTGTTCCCTGCATTTCTCCTGCAACTGTCTGAGGGAGAATACCACGTCAGTAGTGGATCTATTAGCTCAAAATCTGCACTGTGATTCTGGATAGACTGTCTGCAAGCACCTGGAGCCTCTTCAGCACAACATGGGCAAGCAGCTTCCCTACAAGGCTAAGAAGAGAGATGCCACGGTAGTTATTGCAGTTGCCCCTGTTTCCTTTGTTCTTGTACAATGTGGCAATGTTTGCATCCTTCATGTCCTGCGGTACTCCACCTTCCCTCCAGCGAAGACAGAAGATTTCATACAGCTCGGTGGCGATGATCTCTTTTCAGCACTTCAACAGGGATGTTATCCTTTCCAGGTGGCTTGCTGGACACGAGGGAATCCAAAACAGGATTCTTTCGCTCCCCACAGTACGTGGAACAATGGATCTCAGCAGAATATTTCTGGCAAAGCCAACGCCATGTTCCCTGGTCTCATTCAATGGTTTTCCCTGCTAGAAGAATGAGAAGTTTTTTTTCTTTGACAGATACCATGTTTGGCAATCTCGTCTCTTGCAGGGCAACAATGTCCATCTGCAGTCTACTCAGTTCCATGCCAATGACAGCTGTCTTGTGCACGTCGTCTATTTCCTGCAGGTCATCAGAAAAGCCAGTGGTCATTGTCCGAACATTCCAGGTGCCCGACTTTAGGGCAGAAGTTTTCTTATGATTGTTGCATGGTACAGGGTTATCCATCTGCTTGTCGGAGAAGACAGTTTAAAAAATTAAGGACCCTTAGCCAAAGACTTGGAAATAAAAGCTCGGGCACTGTCAGGCTGCCCTTTCATGAACCTGCAGTGCCACTGGACTTGGAAAGGCAGCGATGTGAGCAAGCTTTTGGGTCCACGTCCTGAGTCCTATGTAGGCACAGGGAGTGCGGGACTCTGCGCAGGCGGCAGCCTGTCCGCTCAAGGCAGAAATCTGAACCCACCTGTCTCTGACATAGGGTTGTCTGCTTTTTCTTTTGAATGCCTCCAGCGATTCTTAACCACCTCCCCCTGAGGTTATGGGTTCCATTTGTCGTACTCCTCTAACAGTTAGGGAGTTTTTTCCTGATATTCAGCCGAGATCTGGCGTCCTGTCACTTGAGCCCCACTGGACAGTGAGTTGCGACTCGTGAGTCCCCATCGGCGGGAAAGGGGTAACCAAAGTAAATTCCGGGGCTGGAGTCCCTCCCCTGGGAGGAAAGGGGAGAATGTCTGGGACTGCTTAGCCCAGGAGAGGGCAAGGGAGAGGATAAATGGGTATTTAGCTCGGCATGATGTGGGCAAGGTGGATGGAGAGACACCTCCCAGAACACTAGACCTTGAAACTTGGTGGTGGGGGAACTCCCAACGGGGGAAATGAAGGATTTTTTCCACGGAGCACACAATTCAGCTGCAACATTCGCTACCCCAAGAGGGATTGAAGGCTACCCGCTTGGCTGACGTGGGAGCGGAGGGTGAGCGCGTGAGGCTCTGCCTAGGGTTTGATCCAGTGTCGGGGGGGGGCTTCCTAGGTTCTTCCAGGGCAGGAGGACATCCTCCCTGGTGGGGGAGTTGACCCACCGGGGATGACAGGGCGCCCTTTCTTCCTTCCCACTAGGCTCCTGGCGGAGAAGCGGAAGGAGCTGTCGGACCAAGTGAACAAGCTGCACAACGGCCTTTTCAAAATCGACGAGACCCGGGAGAAAGTGGAGGTGATGACGCTGGAGCTGGAGGAGGCCCGGAAGAAGGTGGCGGAATTCCAGAAGCAATGCGAGGAGTACCTGGTCATCATCGTCCAGCAGAAGCGGGAGGCTGACGAGCAGCAGAAGGTGAGTGGCCCCCGGGCGGGCTTCCCGTGGGCGGCCAGACCGGGGCAGCCCCCCCTCGCCCTGGCCGGACCCTGCCTCCTGATCTCCCTCTTTCCTCCCCCCCAGACGGTGACCGCCAACAGCGAGAAGATCGCGGCCGAGGAGATCAAGTGCAAAGCCTTGGCCGACAACGCCCAGAAGGACCTGGAGGAGGCCTTGCCAGCCTTGGAAGCGGCCATGAAGGTAGGAGGGCTTGGGGGGGGTCTCCTCCCCCTAAGTGGTCCTCTGGCAGACTCTGGGGGGTGGAGCCCCGAAGCATCTCTTCCTGCATCTCTTGTTTCGGGCAAAATCCAGAGCAACGAAGCAAAACTAAAAGGAAAAAAATGAAAGACAAAAACAGGGGGCACCTTGAAGACTAACTATTATATTTTAACGTGAGCTTTCGTGGATGAAGTCCATTTCGTCAGACCCATGGAAGCAGAATGAGACATTGGAGGAAAGATCAGTTTCACAAATAGAATATTCTCAATATTCCCTGGCTAGGTCCTTTTAATTGTTTGGGGAGGTTCTGCCCCTTTGCACTGGATGCTCGCAGCAAGTCGGAACCATAAATGTGGTCCTGCACGAATGCCTTTTCCCCAAAAGCCCCAAAGGGGAAGGAGCCGTTCGTTTGCTCTCTCTCTGGCTGTCTTGCTTGTACCTTCTGCTCTGCCTCAGCAGCATCGGCACCAGCGCCAGCGGCATCAGGCCTGTGTCACTGGGGTAGAGCAACAGGATCGTTGCCTCAGAGCAGAAGCATTTAGCTGGCATTGAAAAAAAAATCTTGCAATAAATGCAAGGAAGAAAATTAGGGAAATAACAAGTGGTGGCTGCCGTTCCTGGTCCCGTTCGCTCCCCTTTTTCTCAAAGCAGAAATCTCCTTTCTGGAGGGGTCATGGCAATCTCTCCTTTAAATTGTTTCGGGTAAAAGCCAGAGCAGTGAAGCAAAACTAAAAGGAAAAAAATAAAAGACAAAAAGAGGGGGGCACCTTGAAGACTAACTATTATATTTTAACTTGAGCTTTCATGGATGAAGTCCACTTCGTCAGACCCATGGAAGCAGGATGAGACATTGGAGGAAAGATCAGTTTCACAAATGGAATATTCTCAATATTCACTGGCTAGGTCCTTTTAATTGTTTGGGAATAACATGTGTGAACCAGTGTGGAATGAGTGGGGGATGGTGCCCATGGCCCGGTGGTCGAGATCGCTGGTTGTGGTTCTGAGCCACTCGCTCTGCCAGCTGCGCTTTCCCCGAAGAAGGCCTCCCTGTCGGTCCGCCACGTAGCGCTCACCTTCGGGGCAGCCTTCCCTGAATCTCCCCCGGCGCTCTCTCTGTCCCCAGGCTTTGGAATCGCTCAACAAGAAAGACTTGACTGAGATCAAGTCTTACGGTCGGCCGCCCACCCTGGTGGAGACCGTCATGCAGGCCGTCATGATCCTGCGCGGCAACGAGCCCACGTGGGCGGAAGCCAAGAAGCAGCTGGGTAAGGCCAGCCGAGGAGCCCCAGTGGAGGGCCTGACTCGGGGAGATGTTCCATCAGGGCTGTGCCTGTCACGGGACTCGGATTTTCCTTTGACCCTTTGACACACACACACACACACACACACACACACACACACACACACACACACACACACAAAAACACACTCTCTCTCTCTCTCTCTCTCTCTCTCTCTCTCTCTCTCTCTCTCCGGTTGCCCTCTCATCAAGCCCATTACACCAAGGAGAGAAACCACCAGGTTCAGAGGCTGTGTTCGGGGACACTGGGCAGCTGCCCTCCTCCTCTCCTTGTGGCCTTTCCGGAGGCAGACGGTCCATTGGTCATTCTGGGAAGAGGTGGAAGCAGCTTCACCGCCAATTTTGGTCTGTCCCAGGATGGCCGCCGTCCGGCGCAGCCCTTGCTCCTCCCGCTGACCCCCTTGCCCGGTTCCTCCAGGCGAGCCCAACTTCATCAAGCAGCTGGTCTACTTCGACAAGGACAACATCTCCGACAAGGTGCTCAAGAAGATCAGCGCCTACTGCTCACAGCCGGACTTCCAGCCGGACATCATCGGGCGGGTCTCGGTGGCCGCCAAGTCCCTCTGCATGTGGGTGCGCGCCATGGAGGTGAGCTGGGAGGCCGGCCGGCGGGAGGCAGGAGAACGCGGAACAGGCTGGGCTGGGCTGGGCGGTGTGTGAGAACATGGAGGGTCAGGAAAGAGACTGCTTTGCCCCCCCCCCGGTGCTTCGCTGGCTTCATGCCCCTTTTATTTCCCCCGCTCCCCTTTCCCAGATGTATGGCCGTATTTACCGCGTGGTAGAACCCAAGCGCGCTCGGATGAACGCGGCCTTGGCCCAGCTGGCAGAGAAACAGGCCGCCCAAGCCGAGGCCCAGGAGAGGCTCCGGGAGGACTGTCTGCTTCGAGGGACGGTCTGGGGACAGGGAAGGGTCACGGGCACCCTGGCGCTGCTTTCCAAACCAGGAAGGTTCCAGGATCTCTCTTTCTGGCAGCTGCGGTCGCTCGTCCTGTCCGACCCTCCGGAGAGAAGTTCTTGGAGGAGGAAAAGGGACCCTGTTTTCACCCCTTCTGTCTCTCCCCCCCCCCCCGGTCTCAGGTGGCAGAAAAGCTGGAGATGCTGAAGAAGGAGTACGAGGAGAAGCTGGCCCAAAAGGAGGAGCTGCGGAAGAAGTCGGAGGAGATGGAAATCAAGCTGGACCGAGCCGACAAGCTGGTCTCCGGGCTGGCCGGAGAGAGAGTCCGCTGGGAGGAGACCGTCAAGGTAGGGGGCCCTGATCTCCAGCCCCAGGCCTGATTGCCCGGGAGGTCCCAAGAGGTGAGGAATAAACGGCCCTTCCCGGCGCCAGCCTCCCCTCCCGCTGGTCTCCTTCGGAAGGGTGGCTCTCCTTTTGACGGCCGAAACCCGTTGCACCTGCGGGGACGGCCAAAGGCTCGGGATGCGCAAGGGTTGGAGCCCGAGAGAAAAGAACCGCAAGCAAGGCCTACGACAGGGGTCGGCGACTCCAGAGAGTGTCCCACTTCGGAGCCTGTGGGAAAGGTTTCCGTCGAGACCAGGGTGGTGGTGGCTGTAGGTGGAGTGCGGACTCTTATTTCCGACCTCCTGCCTCCCTTTAGGGCCTCGAGGAGGACCTGGGCTACCTGGTGGGGGACTGCCTGATGGCTGCCGCGTTTGTCTCCTACATGGGGCCCTTCCTGTCGAATTACCGGGAGGAGATTGTCTCGCACATCTGGATCAAGCAGGTGAGCCTGGTGCCCCCTCGGCTGAGCCGGCGGCCTGACTCTTCCTTCCTGCCAAGAGGATCCAGAGCCTGGCTTTTCTCCCTCGGCCAGCCGGCCGGCCGGCCAACCACCCTCTGGGGTCCCCGCTTGACGCTCGAGGCTTCCTTTGGGGTTTGGCTAAGAGAGAGGTGCCCTTGGTCCCGGGCCCCTGCGCGTTGGCGCTGCCAGGGGGATCCCATTCAAGCTGCCCCAAGGCGGGGGGGGCCTGGTGCCTGGAGAAGGGAGGGTCCCGCTGGTCGCAGGGGTGGCAGCTGATTCCTTTCCCCCGCCGCTCTCTGGCTGCAGATCCGTGAGCTCCACGTGCCTTGCTCCCCGCACTTCACCTGCGACAGCTTCCTCTCCAACCCGACCGCCGTGCGCACCTGGAACATCCAGGGGCTGCCCTCCGATAACTTCTCGACAGAGAACGGAATTATTGTCACACGAGGCAACCGGTGAGCAAACTTTAGAAAACGAAGCCGAGTAAAAAAAAACGTTAGAGGTCCAGTGGGGGCTTCTGTGGACTTGTCCACCTTCCTCAGGCTGAGCAGTGGATCCGGCCGACTCCCCAAACACCCCTGTGGCCGCTGGGTTCAGCCCCCGGGGCCCCTCTCTTTCATGCATGGAGGGGCTTTTTGGGGGGTTTCCGGCCACAAAGCCCCTGCAAATGGCAAACGTCGCTCTTCCTTTTTTTCATCTCTCCAAGGTGGCCGCTGATGATTGATCCCCAGTGCCAGGCCACGAAATGGATCAAGAACATGGAGCTGAAGAGAGTAAGGATTTTGGAAAGAGGCAGCCACGCCAGCCTGTGGCAGGGTAGCAAAAAAGGGAGAAGCCAAGTCTTGTGGATCCCTTTCAGGTTTACTTAAGAATGAGCTTTCCGGGATTACAAGCCCCTCCTTCTCAGGCGCATGGATTCAGATGGGGTGGATCGACTACAAAAGGAAGGGCGCTTAAAGCTTCTGGGCCCCTAACCTTGCAGGGGCCCCAGAAATTATTTTAGTCCCCCATTTTTAAAAAATGGTGGTGATCTGTCATGGAACAGCCCCACTGAAGAAGACAAAACAGGGGTTGCCCAGCCCTCGTGGCCGACTGCGAAGAGTTCAAACTCCACTCCCCCCCCCGAAATGAAGGTCCACCACTGAATTCAGAACTCAAGGAGAGATGTCCAGTGGTCTTAGTTGTGAGAATTCAGATCAGAATGAATTGGGAATTTTTTTTTAAAAAGGCAATAGCGTCTTAACAAGCTGGTTAGCTTAAGCATCTTGGCAGTAAGAAAAGGACTCAAGGACGTGAATGCCTGTTAGCTAATACACAAATGGGGCTGTTATTTGCCTCTAAAGAGTCAACGCAATAAATTCGGCAAGAAGAGCTTGTCTGTCCCTCTCGGGGGGTGTTCTAGGAACACCTTCTCCCCCACATCGGCTGGACTCCTCTCTTTGGCCCTGACTTCTGTCTGTCTGTCTGTCCGTCTGCCTCTCCCTCCCTCCCTCATTCCTTCCTTCCTTGCCCAGTCCCCTCCTTGGGCAGAGGCTGGCCCACCATGGGGGTGGCTTCTCTCTTCCCCTTTCGCCGGCCAGGCAAGGCTTGTGCCAATGTCTTCTTCACCGCCTGGAGGGGCTTTCCCAGCCCTGGCCCTGCATCGGTCCGATCTGGCATGCCTCCCTCCTGGACCTTCAAGGGGGGTTTTGTGATCCAGGCACAGCACTCCTAGGAGAGCTGGCACCCCCCCCCCTTTGCATGCCTCCTGCCGAAGCCTCCTGGACCTTCAAGGGGGGTTTTGTGATCCAGGCACGGCACTCCTAGGAGAGCTGGCATCCCCCCCCCCTTTTCCGTGCCTCCTGCCGAAGGTGCGCTCTCTCTCTCTCTCTCTTTGCCCCCTGGCAGGGCCTGAAGATCATCGACTTGCAGATGCCGGACTACCTGCGGGTGCTGGAGGCGGCCCTCCAGCTGGGCTCGCCTGTGCCTTCAAGGGGGGTTTTGTGATCCAGGCACGGCACTCCTAGGAGAGCTGGCATCCCCCCCCCCTTTTCCGTGCCTCCTGCCGAAGGTGCGCTCTCTCTCTCTCTCTCTTTGCCCCCTGGCAGGGCCTGAAGATCATCGACTTGCAGATGCCGGACTACCTGCGGGTGCTGGAGGCGGCCCTCCAGCTGGGCTCGCCTGTGCTGCTCCAAAACGTGCAGGAGGAGCTGGACCCGACCTTGGCCCCCATCCTCAACAAGTCCGTCACCAAAGTGGGTGAGCAGCCAGTGGCTGGCCGGCGGTGACTCAGAGAAAAGGGCTGGAGATCTTGGTTGGGTTTTTTTTTCCCCAAGAGGAAGGGAGGGAGGGAGTGTGTGGGTCAGCCAGGGAGGAAAAAGGGACCCCAGGGCCCAGCTGAGACAGCTCCGTCCTTGGGCCGGCCCGTGACTCGCGTTCCTGTCTGTGCGGCAGGCGGGCGCCTGTTGATCCGGCTGGGGGACAAGGAAGTGGAGTACCACCCGGAATTCCGCTTCTACCTCACCACCAAGCTGCCCAACCCACACTACACTCCGGAGACCTCTTCCCAGACCACCATCGTCAACTTTGCCGTCAAAGAGCAGGTAAGGGGCTCTCCTCTCAGAAACGTCTGGGCCAACTCCCTTGCAGGTAGAAAAGGCGGCTGCCCCTTGTTGCTCTGGAGCCCTCGGTGAAGGGGAAAGATCCGCCCGGCTTGGCAGGAAGGACCAAGCACAGAGATGGACCCAAAGGGCGAATGAAGGCTCTCGACGCCGAGGACCTTGATGGGGAGGGAGAGGGGGGTGGGGGTGGGTGGTTAGGAAGGGCTGATCCTGACTTGAAATCAACCCCCCCCCCCACGGACCTTTTCAGGGACTGGAGGCCCAGCTCCTGGGCATCGTGGTCCGGAGGGAGAGGCCTGAGCTGGAGGAGCAGAAGGACCACCTGGTGCTCAACATTGCGGCCGGCAAGAGGAAGCTGAAGGACCTGGAGGATGAGATCTTGAGGTGAGCTGGAGTATACAGGGAGGGGAGGAATCGCAGGGTGGTCCCCCGGCACACGAGAGGAAAGGAAAGGAGAGGGCTTCCTTTGACGGAGTTGCCGGGAGCCTCAGGCCGAGTAGGAGGAAAGCCATGCCGGGTCAGCTGGGCCTCTGCTGCGTGAAAGAGCAGCAGAGGTGAAGGAGGAGGGCGGTGGCCATCCATCCCAGGGTGGGAGCCCCTCTTTGGTGGTCCCAGGTGGTCCAGAGAAGGCAGGAGGGGCCGTGCTTCGGACTGGTTTCCAATTCAGAAAGAGCACGGTCTGCCCGGGACTAAAAATAAGACCGGAAGGTTGGGTGAAATGCAGCGGAGGACCCGTCCAGAGGCAGCCACCATTTTTCGTGGAGGCTTGGCATAAACGGACAGATCGGCCCATCTCCTTTCCTTCTTCGCCTCCCTTTTGTGGGTCGCGCCGCCCGTCTGGTGGGTCTCCCCAAGCACGGAGGACAGAGGGCCTGCGTGCCTTCCCGCCCCTCTGAGAACCGGCAAGAGGGGTGCAGGAAGCATCCTCAGGGTTATAACCAGGGAGACCTCTGACGCGCAGTGCGGCTTTTCCCGGATGCAGGCAGGGTTCTTGATCCCACCAGGCAGGACCCGAATCAGACGAGATCAGCCGTGTTCGGGGTGAGACAGCAGGGCAGTGAGCCGGTCTTGCTTCCCCCCACAGCGGCTTGGCTCAGCCGCCCTGCTTTCTGCTATAACCCCAGGCTGCTGAACGAGACCACGGGCTCCCTCCTGGACGACGTGCAGCTGGTGAACACCCTGCAGACCTCCAAGGTCATTGCCACCGACGTCACGGAGCAACTGGAGACCAGCGAGACCACGGAGATCAAAATCGACACTGCCCGGGAGGTGAGGCTGTGTGGGATGGGGAGGGGATGCGTCCCCCCAAGCTGGTTCTGTGGCACAAGCCCCAACGTGGCTGCAGCCCAGGGGGGCCCGAGAGGTGCGGGTGCTCTTTGGGGGGTTCAGAAACGGTATGCGGCTCCCTCCGGGGATTCTCCACCACGAGAAAGGGCCTGTGCAAAACAGAAACGGCCGTTCCGGAGGTTCTTTGCGAAAGGCACTTTCTCAGAGGCACGCAGGCTTCAGAGAGGCTTTGCACGACAGCTTGTGCAAATTCCCAGTGTCTACTGCCCCCCCATGTCCTCTCAGAGCTTTGGAAGGTTATTATTATTATTTGTTTTATTTATTAGGCCGCCTTTCTCCTGATAAGGGGACCCAAGATGGCTCGCGATACTAAAAAGGATAGCGTTAAAAACCTACGTTAAACATGGAAAAAAACACAAGTGAACTATACATTAATTAAAAATGATCTTAACTTTAAAAACGCATTCAGGGACTCAGTCATGATGATTAAACACCTGCCGGAAGAGAGATGGGCCTTTAGATGTGTGTGGTGGGTGAGAAGGGAGGGGGCCCAGCCGGATCTCCCGGGGGGGGGAGAGCGTCCCGTCACCTGGGAGCTGCCACCAAGAAGGCCCTCTCCCTTGTCCCCCATCAGCCGTGAAAAAGGTAACTTTTTAAGACTCTGAGAATCACACACACACACCCTGTACTGGCCATGCTGGCTGCAAGCTGTCATCCAGGAACGTAATTTTTCCTCTCTCGGCGTCTCCCTGCTTGCCGACTCACCCGGTGCGCTTTGGTGTGCTCTCCCAGGCTTACCGGCCCTGCGCTCAGAGGGCCTCCCTCCTCTTCTTCGTCCTCAACGACATGGGCCGGATTGACCCCATGTACCAGTTCTCCCTGGACGCCTACATCGACCTCTTCAACCTCAGCATCACCAAGAGCCACCGGAGCGCCAAACTGGAAGAGAGGATTCGCTTCCTGAATGAGTACCACACCTACGCGGTCTACAGGTAAGGCCCCCCCGTCCCTCACCCCTTGACGGATTGGGGCCTCGCTACCTGTCGGAGCACCTGTCCCTCCTCCTCCACCCCCCCAAGAACATCTCCTTCTCCCACCCAGTCTTCCCAAGCCGCCTTCTGGAAGGTGGTGACGCCGAGAGAAAGGCTTGGAAGGCTGTTTCCGGAAATCGGGCCTCCTTGGCTGGGGCCCCATCTTTATGGAACAGGCTCCTGGTGGGGATCGGTCCGGCCCCTTCTTTGCCCACATTTCAGAGGATGCTGAAGACAGGAGCTTTTTAAGGAGGCCGGTGGCAAGAGGCCTCCTTCCCCGAGGTGGCTTTCTTTTGCCTCTCTTGCCATCAGTAGTGTTTTTTAGATATTTTCTAGGTTATGATTTTCAAATTTCCAACTTGTCCATTATTTTGTGATTGAGGAATTTGTGGTTTGGGGTGGGATGGGGTGGGTGACATTTAATGTGGGTCTCCCAGAGGAGTAGTGCCTGTCTTTAAGTCGGGAAGACAAGGGGGGGGAGGGAGGGAGGGAGGGAGGGAGGTTCCCTTTTCTGCCGAGTCTGGCAGTCAGCGCACTGGGTCCTCTTCATGTGAATGAATGTGGGGGGAGCACAGGCTACCCAGAACGGTTGGATGCACTCCTGGTTTCCAACTGACAGACAGAAGACAGACTAGAAGTCTTATAGAACTTTTGAAACTAATTACTTTTTATTTTTCATAAGCTTCCGTGTGCTCTGGTCTGGCGTGCTTGGGCAGACGAAAGCTGATGAAAATCAAAAACGGTGCTGTAAGGCTTCTGGCTTCCCATGAGTGACAGCCAACCGACACAGCGACCAGAGGCAGGCAAAAAAAGACCCCAGAAGGGGCGAGCCTCCTGTCTGGAAAGTCACCCAGTCTCCATTGCCGGTCCATCATCCGCTCTTTTTGACTTCTCTCTTTCCTTCGCCAAGGTACACCTGCCGGGGCCTCTTTGAGAGACATAAGCTGCTCTTCAGCTTCCAGATGTGTGCCAAGATCCTGGAAGTCTCTGGGAACCTCAAGATGGACGAGTACAGCTTCTTCCTGCGTGGAGGAGTGGTAAGTCCGAGGAAGCGGCCGGCTCCCCGTCTAGCCGTCCAGGGGATCTGGAGGCTGCAGCCTGGCCAGGCTGAGGATGGGGTCCCCATCTGTGGTTCTCCTCTGCGGCCTGTCGTGGGGGCCGGGTGGCCGCTCTCCGGGGCTCCAGGGAAGAGTTTCCCCTGCCTGGAGACGCTCTCACAACCGGCAGCTTTGTCCAGCTAGGGAACGGCCTTCCGTGCCTATTGCAAAATAATCTCTCCTGAGAAAGGCCTTCCCCCCCCCCCATTTTTGCACAAGGTGACGTGGTCCTCAAGGCATTTCTAATTAAATTTATTGTCATTATAAGTATATACATAGTATACACATACCACTAAATTCACACAGACACCCAGAGACCAGACCCACGTGCACACACAGGCACAATCAAAATATTAATTAAAAGATACCGCTCTCTGGAGTGCCAAGACGCCGCAAAGGCTTCTCCGCTTCAGTTCTTGCCTGGAATAGGCTTGCTTTGCATCCACGGGGAAAAATATACTGGCCCGCTCACCCGCCCGCACACCTCCTCTCTCTCACCTCTTTTCCCTCCACCCTTGGGGGGCACATGTTAGGGTCTGACTTTGCCTTCTGACCTCTCTGGGAGAGGCTTGTGCCCCGATTCAGTTTGCAGTCCATCCATAGCACTCCATGGGGGGGGGAACCCATTTGGGGCAGGGCACCAACAGTGACTGAGGGGGGGGGCAAACTGCCAGAGGCTTGCTCCACCGGTTGAGGAGCGACCCGGGAGGCAGCCAGCATGAAGCAGGTCCTGCCCGTCCCCTCGCTGGCGCTCGAGAGGTGAATCTCTTCCCTGGCTGACGTGCCACCTGCTCATGGCTTCTCAGGCTTTCACACACACCCCAAGCTGCTCACTCTATGTGACCACTTTTCCTCCTGCGGGGCGTGGAGGGGGGGGGGAAGAGAGTCTCTCCCTAAAGAGGTGGCCCCTTCTCTTCGCAAGTGAGTCAGGCAGAAACCGGACTGGATTTCTGGTCCCGTGTCGAGCGCGCTGGACCCTCTCGGCCATTCTGGGCTTAAGAGTCCACCGTGGAGGAAACGGCCGAGGAGTAAGCACTGAGGTGGGTGGCCTGAGACCCATGGGTAGCCAGACGATTGGGGGGGTCAAGTGGCCGGCCGCCAAATCCAGCCCTCTCAGTGCTGCTGGGCCCCTCTGGTTCCCCAGCCGACCTTTGGGAACGGCTTCCCTGACCTCTGTGGGGTGTGTGTGTGTGCGCACGTGGGCGTGTTGTCTGAAGTGGCAAAGGTTGGGCACGAGGATGGAGCAAAGGAGCTGTGCCGCCCCACGGTGCTGCCGGTGGTGCCCTCTTGATTTGGCCCTGCCTCTGCCCTCTGCGTGCGTTGCGGCCTCTGAAGGGCCGTTCTGTTGGGTTTGGGGGGGGAGGCGTTCCCCAGCCCCTGGTCTGGATCCACTGCGGCGGGGCTAGGCTGCTGGTCCTCACTTTAGGAGAAGCCCCCAAAGGCCTTCTCCTGGCTCTGCCTTCCCTCCCGGGCTTGGGAATCATCCCCTTTGTGGATGGCGTGGGGGGGGGCCAGTTCTGAAGGTCAGAGTCCCAAAGGAAGTCATGCCTCCAAGCTGTTGCCCTCTGGGCCGTTCAAGCCTCGGGGACTCCCTCCGGGGCTCCCTTCTTCCCCCCCCATCCTGGTTGTCCTTCCTGCCTGCAGGTGCTGGACCGGGAAGGGCAGATGGACAACCCCTGCACCAGCTGGCTGGCCGACATCTACTGGGACAACATCACCGAGCTGGACAAGCTCACCAACTTCCACGGCATCATGAACTCCTTTGAGCAATACCCTCGCGACTGGAACCTCTGGTACACCAGCTCTAAGCCGGAGAAGGCCATGCTGCCAGGTCAGGGGATCGGGCCGGGGAGGGGGTGTGGGGGTGTGGGTACGACACCAGGCTTTGGGTGCAGTGTGTACGGGGAGGGGGAACTAGTTACTTTCGGGGCCACGGAAATGGGATGGTGCAGTTACACTTTCTAAAGCAGTAGCAGCCGAATCACCTTTCCTGGTCTAACGGGCTATCAGGCCAAATCAAAACAAAAATGAAAAAATAAAGGAGACCAAAAAGATTGTGGTACCTTAAAGATGAACGGCTCTGTTTTTTTTTATGTGTTCGATTCCTCAGACGTTAAAACATAGAAATAATAGCAGTTTGTCTTCAAGCTTCCATGACGCTTTTGTCTTCATTTTGTTCAGTTTTCCATTTGCTTTTGGCCCGATAGGCTGCCACAGACCAACACGGCGGCCTCTTCTAAAAATGGGGGGGGGGGGTGGGGGGGAAGG